TACATGGGGTGAGGGCGGCATAGGAGGGTCGCCAGTTGTACCTCAGCTCTGTCCATCTCAGTTGATGTGTTCTTATCAAGGACTCTTTAAATAATTGCCTACTGATGGTGGTCAGATGGTCCACTGGTACCTACTGTATGACAGACTCATTTCAGTCAGTGAGCTCCAGAGCAGCTGGGTTACAATCTAGCTTGCCAAAATCAGTGTGTGAATGAACTTACATGGCTCTTCCCTATGTTTATTCATTCACACACTGATTTTGGCAAGCTAGATTGTAACCCAGCTGCTCTGGAGCACACTGACTGAAGTGAGTCTGTCATACAGTAGGTACCAGTGGACCATCTGACCACCATCAGTAGGCAATTATTTAAAGAGTCCTCATTAAGCACACATCGACTGAGATGGACAGAGCTGAGGTACAACTGGCGACACTCCTATACCACCCTCACACCACGTACTTAACATTTATTATTGGGTTGGCATGAATTTACCAATATACAGTATATTTCTTTTTAAACTGACTTCATGTCCATCATTTTATTAAGTAAACTTATAGAGGTTTATAGTTAATTATGGTATGGAAGATGTAGAGATGTTGGCCTGAGTTTCTATTGCAGAGAGCATTTAAACCTGTGAGGCAGGTGGAACCTATAAAGCTCGTCATACACTGTAGAATTTCTTGCTCTTATTCTCCAGTCTTGCAAGAACTTGTTTATCGGGCTGACTTTCAGCCTTATCGTGCATTGTGCATCAAGTAGTGTACAGGGGGTAATGAGGGGGGATGAAGAATAGTAAGGTCAGGAGAAAAACAAACACGTCCTGAGCTGTGACCTTTAAAACCCTGTGGTTTTGTCCTACAGTTTGAGCTGTAGCTGAGTGTAACGATTTAATATATTGCACAGTGTATGCCTTAAGTACAGGAGAGATAGCTAAAAACCTCAGAAGTGGTGGCCAGGTTTGAATGCTGCATCCTAAGTGACCACGCTATGGAAGTAAATCTGTGCCGTTGGGATTTAAATTAAAAATGTCACTGAAATATAAATGTTGTATGTTTGTACTTACTCTTTCTGTGTTAAAATATATTCAGAAAACATTTTCAATCTAAAAAAAAATCATTGTCACTATATCTATATAGTTTAAATTTTATTTGTTATTTTCACTGCAAGGTAAAAAATCAAATTGCTATTTCACAGTTAATACATTTTCAATACCTATTTTATTCAGTTTGACTTTTCAGTGTTAAAAAAAGCAGCATATAAAAAATTCAGCCTTTCAAAATTCAAACTCAATATTTTCAGCAACTGAGATTCAACTGGCTCAATTTCACGGTTAAATTCAGCGTCTAAATTCAGTGTAAAAAGGGAAGGGTTACTTCAGGTCACAGACATTAGCAATGGACTGTGGTGTCCAACACCCAGATAATCCCGTTACAGTTTCTTAGTCACGTGACGGGACGTTTTTGGCGCTCATACTGAAGGAAAACCAGCATCACCGAGGCGGTCAGGCAAGCTAACACTAACGCATTGGTGAGTTTATTGCTTTCATTTTTCTGTAGTATTGCAGCAAGTTGCAATTGCAAGCAAGTATTTTAAAGGGATTGGCTGGGTGTTGGACACCACAATCCGTCACATGACTAAGAAACTGTAACGGGATTGGCTGGGTGTTGGACACCACAATCCGTCACATGACTAAGAAACTGTAACGGGATNATATCATTATTGTTATATATATATATATATATATATATATATATATATATATATATATATATATATATATATATATAGTGCTGTACAGTATTGAGTTAAAATCACTTTTCTGTAATACTTCACACTGTGCACACATGCTCTCCCCTTTGTTTCCATATCTGAGCATAGGATGGTGCTCTCCATATATCACAGCTTTCGCCTCCAAGGGATGATCCATTGATGTTCTACTATCATCTGAAAAAACAGAGAACAATAACCTCTGGTTTATAGTTGAAAAACTGAGAGTCCAAACAGACAGGCTCAAGTTGGCGTCAGGTTGCTGCTTCCTCGCTGAAGTTGAGTTAAAAAATTTGTTTCCACTACTTTCTAACAGTAGCATCTTTCAGGTAGCCTTAAAATAGCAAAAAATAATTGATGTAATACAGAGCTCATATAAATTGCTCACTTATGAAAAAGAGGCATTTGTCTAGCACCCTTGTGTGCCAAAACAGAATTTACTGTAAGACAAAAACTTCACCTTATGCTTTGAAAACATAAATCTGCCCATTACGAAAAATTATAATAGTAAGCTTGTTACGAACAGGATGAACATTATGGTTTACTATCCTCTGAAAAAAAAAAGAATAATAACATTTGGGATATAGTTGTGGAGCAGCATGCAAATTGAATAAAAAAAAAAAAAAAACATTGAAACAAACTGACCAGGCTGAAGTTAGCATCCAGTTGTTGCTTACTATCACAAGATGATTGAAAATATTCTTGCCAATGCTTTCTAATTCTACAGTGCACCCTAAAACAGCCGAAGAAGTAAGGGATGTTATACGGAGCTGGTACAAGTTACTCAAACATTAAACTGAGAAATTTTTGTAGCTGCATTGTTTACCGAAACAGAAGCTAAATTCACACACCAACTTCAGTTTCCTATGCTTTGAAACTATACATCTGCTCATAAAACAATGAAGCTCGCTACTATCAAGCTGAACATTACCTGGGCTATATGCACATCTACTTCCTGAACTTAAGGAAGCACTTTTGTTTTCTGCCTGTCATTACTGGATGAACTGATTAATCCAGGTTTTTCTGGCCATGGTTACTGAGCTCAAGTACTCCTGGATTAATGAGTTCATCCAGTAGAAAAATACAATTAACTAAATAGCTGCCTTATATTCAGGAAGCAGTGGAGTAGTGCATAGAGCCCACTGATCAATATTCCAGTCTGAACCATCAATGCACAAATAACAGCGATAATTTTGTGTTGCATGTGAATATAAAACTCAGAACCTGTAAAAGAGAAAAATCAAAACTTCCTCAATTTTTATATTAAATTAGTCTATCTGATATGATATTTGGAGCTAATTTTAGGTCTATTCTTGTAACATGTAATTGGTATTCTATCATTTGACTTTCTAACTGAAGCAAGTGAACGTAATAAAAGTGAACCATTGATTGATTGTATAGTGTCTGTCACAATAACAAGAAACACCAGAGAAAGAGATATTTCTTTATTTTGTTGTAGTTATAATTTCTGTTTTTATCAAAAATGTGTCGTCCCTTGTTTTAGGTTAAGGAGATGCTTTGAGATCTGAGTTGGACA